TCAGCCCCTCTGGCCCAGCCTGTGGGGCTGCCGGGGGTTGTTGTGGCCAAAGGTCAGGACCCCACCCTTGGCCTTGGTGAACCTCATCCCGTTGGAATCAGCCCATGGATCCAGCCTGTCCAGGTCTCTCTGCAGAGCCCTCCTGCCTTCCAGCTGATCCACACTCCCCCCCAGCTCGGTGTCACCTGCAAATTTGCTGACGGTGGACTCAACCCCCTCATCTAAACCATCAATAAAGATATTAAAGATATTAAATAGGTATTAAATGACACCCTCTGGAAGAAAACGGGCCTCTGAGTCCTGCAGCTGGGCTCACCTTCCTGCACAGCCACGTCCATGGGGCTGGCAGTGGCACTCTGGAGCAGCTCCTGGTAGGACTGGGCTGACTGGTCGAAGAGCTGCACGAGCAGAGCACACGTCTTCTCGTACTCGCAGCGCCCGATGGTGGAGAGCTGGTCCAGCTGCTGCTGCACCAGCCCCGTGTCGTCCAGGGGATCCTCCAGCCCGTCCCTGAGCGGAGAGAGAGCGGGTCAGGAAGGGATTTATGGTGTGGAGATGGCCTGTCCAACCACAGCGGGGTGTTTGTGTGGGGTACAGGGGAATTCCAGTGACGGTGTCGGTGCTTCCATCAGGACTCGGAGCAACATCCAACCATCCCTGAGGCCACAAACCAGGGGAACAGCAGGGGGGGAGGTGGGAAGAGCAGCAGCACCTGGGCTGAGGAACCTCTTCTTTCACCCTGAATGTTTATCCGGGTCTTTTAACATTCATCTGGGGCTTTCAACACTCATCCGGATTTTTTAACACTTAACTCAGTTTTTTTTAACATTCATCCAGGTTTTTTAACATTCATTCATGGTTTTTAACATTCATCCAGGTCTTTTAACATTCATCCAGGTTTTTTCAACATTCATCCAGGTTTATTCAACATTCATCCAGGTTTATTCAACATTCATCCAGGTTTATTCAACATTCATCCAGGTTTATTCAACATCCATCCAGGTTTTTTCAACATTCATCCAGGTTTTTTCAACATTCATCCAGGTTTTTTCAACATCCATCCAGGTTTTTAACACTTATCCAGTTTTGTTTAACATTCACCCAGGTCTTTTAACATTCATCCAGGTCTTTTAACATTTATTCAGATTTTTGAACATTTATGCAGGTTTTTTAGCATTTATGCAGGTTTTTTTACCATTCACCCAGGTTTTTAACATTCATCCAGGTTTTTTAACACTTATGTATGTTTTTTAGCATTTATTCAGTTTTTTTTGCATTTATGCAGGTTTTTTACCATTCACACAGGTTTTTTAACACTTATGCAGGATTTTTACCATTCACCCAGGTTTTTTACCATTCACCCAGGTTTTTTAACATTTTTTTAACATTCACCTTCCACTAGGACCAGGCTGCTCCAAGCCCCATCCACCCCTGAATGCTTCCAGGGATGGGGCAGCCACAACCTCTAAAGATACAACCCAAAAAAAAAAAAGGGATCAGCCCACCAGTTTTCCCTAAGAGAGGCATTATTTCCCTATATTTGTTTTCATCCAACACACACACACACACGCTGGAATTCATCCCACAGGAATTCAGGCACTACAATGGAATCCCGTAGGCTGGCCCTGCACTCCAAAGAATTAAAAAGAAAAGGTGCTTTTAGGTGTAATTTGTGCCATCCTACGGCAGAGATGTCCAATGAGGTGACTCACACCTCACATCCCTGCTCTGCTGGGAATTCTGGGCTTGCAGGGAATGCTGCAGATCCCGGGGGGGATAAATTCTGTTGGACGTGCTGCAGATCAAATCAGCCATTTGAGACTAAGCAAGGTCTCAACAAACCCCCCACCAGCTTAAAAAAACCCCTGAATCTCCTGTAAAAAGCAGGCAGGCTGTGGGATTTAGGTGAGCCTCCCTCAGAAATCCTTCGGTGACTCACGAAACTTCTGTGTTTGTGGCTGTTTGTGAAGGAAAACTGGAAGGAGAAACACATCAGAGCCTGGGGTGACAGTCATGGAATCATGGAATGGTTTGGGTGGGAAGGGACCTTAAAATCATCCCGTTCCACCCCCTGCCATGGGCAGGGACATCTTCCTCTAGCCCAGGATGCTCCAACCTGGCCTTGGACACTTCCAGGGATGGGGCAGCCACAGCTTCTCTGGGAATTCCATTCCAGGGCCTCCCCACCCTCACAGCCAACAATTCCTTCCCAATATTCCACCTAAATCGATCCTCTCTGTCCGTGGGAAGCCATTCCCCCTTTTCCTGGCACTCCAGGCCCTTGGGAACAAGCCTCTCTCCATCTTTGCTGCAGCTCCCAGCAGGTCCTTCCTGGAAGGCCACGGTGAGGTCACCCCGGAGCTGAACAACCCCAGTTCCCTTTGGGAAGCCTTTCCTGCCAGGAGAACAGCCCCAGCCCTGGCTCTGGCCTCACCTGAGGATGATGTGCACGGATTCCAGGCGGGATGTGATGTAGGCTTTGGTGACCTCGGGGGTGTAGGTCTCCAGCATGTGGGGCTCGGTGGCCTTCACGTAGGGCACGGACGCTGCCAGGCGCTGCCACAGGCTCAGCAGGTAGTGAACACTGTTGGGAGCAAACTCCCAGTGCTTCCAGAGGGAAAGGGAAGGGAAGGAAAAAAAAAACCAAACCCAAGGAGTTATGATCTGGATTATTTTACCCGGATTATTTTCATAGGATCGCGGAATTCCTGTCCCATCCCCCCTCCTCCGACTTGGGAGGGCCATGGGTGGTGCCAGAGGGGTCTCCTTGCACTGGCAGAGTTTCCACGCTGGAAATGCCAGTGGGAACAAGGAATTTGAGGAGTATCAGGTCTGCTGAGCCAGGGGCAGCATCTCTTGGTGTTGAGGGGGATGCAGAGATCACAGAACCTCAGAGTGGTTCAGTTTGGAAAGGACCTCAGAGCTCAGCTCCTTCCACTCCCCATGGGCAATGAACCTTCCACTGGACACAGCAGCATCTAAAAGCTTGAAAGGCCTGGTTGCCAAATTAACCAGGAATTCCAGTGCACACCTGGATTCAGTGGCATCATCAGCACTCAGGGAGATAATCCCGAGTTCCCAGGATGTGGAGCTGAGCCTCCAGTCCCCAACCGCGGCCGAGCTCGTGTTGCACAGCTCCTCACACCCCCTGTGCAGCTTCAAGCTGCTTTCAGATATCAAAATTTAACAAACAAAAGGCATTATCTGAGCTGTACAATGTTCTGAACCCTGCCCTGTGCAGGGGGGTGGTTACAAGCTGATACACCAGTGGAAAGCTCAGTGGGAATACGGCTTGATATCCCTATTACTGGTGATCCCTGCGACGTGAAGTGAGACACAATTCTAAAAATAAGCCTTATTTAACAGGTTGGGGTTTTTTTTTCTTCTCTGCTAGGATTTGGAAAAAGCCTCTGGAGGCATGGTAACTCTGCCTTCCCCCACAGGCTGCTCCAGCTCCATTCAGCAGGAATTCACAGGATAATCACGGCTACACCGCGGGATTCTCCGAGAGGGGTTTGGGGCAAAAATAACGTAAATTAAGGGGCAGGGAACAGAGCAGGGGGGTGGGATTTTTGCTTCAAGGGGAGACAAGAGAAGGAGAGGCAGGTGTACCTGCAGGCTGGTGACGGTGAAGTTGGCAATGAGCCGGATGACCTCGGGGTAGTTCTCCACCTTCACCAGCTCGCCCAGCTGGTAATTGCTTTTCAACCGCGCCAGCAATCGGCAGAACTCGTGGTAGTTATTGGGGTCTGACAAGCTCTGAGAGGAGAAAAAGGGGAGAGGAACTGAGGAACAGCTCAGCAGTGACTGCGAGGGGCTCAGATTGTCACAGAACCACACGGGTTGGAAGGGACCTCCACGGTCACCGAGCCCAACCTTGGACCGAATCCCCCCCTGCCCAATAAAGCGGCTCAGGAAGTGCCACGTCCACTTGTTTTGTGAACACTTCCAGGGATGGCGACTCCACCACTGCCCTGGGCAGCCTGTTCCAATGCCAAAGTACTCTTCCAGTGAAGGAATTTTTCCTGCTATCCAACCCGAACCTTCCTTGGTTGAGAAAAGGAAGAGAGCAGCAGGACATCGCACCCTTTTCCCCTCTGCCAAGTTCTTCTTCCTCCTGTGTCCGTGATCAAGTGGGACATGGACACTGGAGGTATTTTTGGTGGAGAAACACGATGAAGAGGAAGCAGAGCCCCAGTTCCACCTGGAACACCCACCTGGGGGTTTTCCAGTATCCGTTTGACTCCATCAACGAGATGAGATAAGAACTTTGCCCGCTCGGCGTTGTTGAAGAGGGATCTGCGAACGGAGGCGATCTGCACCAAGCAGGACAAAACCTGCAGGGGCACAGGGAGATAAACAGGAAAACAGGGATTAGGACAATCACAGGAGCAGCAGGTTTCCTCCTCGTGACAGGTCTGATGCTCCTCTGTGTGTGACACAAGAGCTCCACGTTTGTGATTTTGTGCAGGAAGGAATTACGGCAGCGGGAGTCACCCAAAGGAACAGCTGCATCCCAGCATCACAGAATCAGGGAATCACTGAGGTTGGAGAAGCCCTCCAAGGTCATGGAGTCCAACCTGTGACTGATCTCCACCAGCCCATCCAGCCCAGAGCACTGAGTGCCACCTCCAGTCCTTCCTTGGACACCTCCAGGGCTGGGCACTCCAAACCTCCCTGGGCAGTTCCAATGCCTGACCACCCTTTCCAGGGAGAAATTCCTCCTGATGTCCAACCTGACCCTCCCCTGGCACAATTTGAGGCTGTTTCCTCTCCTCCTGTCCCTTGTTCCCTGGGAGAAGAGTCCAAACCCCCCGGCTCCCCCTTCCTGTCAGGGGGTTGCAGAGCCAGAAGGTCCCCCCTGAGCCTCCTTTGCTCCAAACTCTGCTCCCAAAATTGCTGGAATTCCTTCAGATGAAGACTGAAAATACACTGGGACTGGCTGGGAAAGCTGAGAAATGTAACACAGACTTGGGAAAGTATTCCAGGGGATAAAAGAGTGGCAAGAAACAGAATTAAACTGTTCTCAACCCAAACCTCTGAGATTTAAATCCAGAGGAAATTCCAGGGTGCAGCTGCAGCAGGAAGAGGCTGGTGAAGAGGACTGTGAAGAGCAGGGGCAGTTAGTTGTGAGCAGCCCCTGCAATCCCAATCCAGAGGCAAATCCCCACCCCCTGGAGCAGTGCAAGGCCTCCCTGCTCATTCCTGCTGGCTCTGGCAGTCCCTGCTCACGGGGGCAGCACAATTAAATTGCTCCGGATTTCTACTCATTAACAACAACCAAAAAAACCCAGAGTCTCACACTTCAAACCTCTCATGAATATTTGAGGCTCTAAATTCAGAATTGGCCAATAACCCTCCACCACCACGAGCAGTGGTGTCTCCATGGAAAAAAAATCCTTCCCTCTGTAGCCAAAGGGCTCGTTTTCCTTGCAGCTTTAATTATGGGAAATATTTATCAGGCAGAGAAATGCCTGGCAGGCAATCTTTTCTTTTTTATTTTTTTTTCCCCAAGAAATAATCTAACTTTTAGTTCAGTTGTGCTATTGGCCCTTTCATTCAAGTGGGACATGGCCTAGTTTTAAAGCGGGGAAGGAGAAATTCCACCCCTCGGGGTGTTCCCAGACTTCCTACCTACTACTCCTGACGTGGTTTTAGGATCCAGCAGGAGCACAGAGGAAATAACATCAGCTGCATCCCTCTAAAACAGGGCTGAGCAGGCAGACTCCATGGGAGGATAAAATTGGAATTCCAGCAATTCTGAGGGCAAATCCAAACCCTGCGGATGCTCCTAAAAAACCATCAACGGCAGCACTTGGACACACGAGCCATCAGGGTGGGGTGAAGTCAAACTAAACCACCAGTGAATCCCCCACATGGATCCCACAGACCCTTCCTGGAAGGGAAACGAGCACTGGACTTACCAGAGGAGAGAACGAAGGAGGGATGGAATGATAAAGATCAAAAAACAACTGCAGGGTCGAAGAATCCAAGAATGCTGCAACAGAAAAGAGCATTTTACCTCCATTTCCTGCTTTCCACACAGGCCTGGTGCTTATTTTATCCCCAAAGCCAAGTGCATCTGTCACACAAAGCACCCCCAACCCAAGAAAACTGCTGAAGGATTTTGTAGTTTCACGCAAAAAGCCTTTTCCTAGAAAATAAAGGAACCCACTGGCACTTGGAACTGAGGGAGAATGACAGGGAAGTATTTTAAGAACACAATCTGTGCAAGTGCCTGGTGAGAACAGCAAGGATGTGGAGAACAGGTGCCAAATTATGTTATTTATATATTTAAAAAAAAAGAAAAACCCAACCAGTTTGCTGCTCTTTGAACTGGGAGGTGCAAGACTGGAAGGGCAGAGGAGTCACCCTGAGTGGATTGTGTGGTTTTCCCCCTAAGGAAAAGCTGGATTTAACCTCTGGAATTCCATGCCCGTGGTTTTTATCGAGCTCAAGAGAAGGACTGAGCAGGCCCCTGGCCCTCCTGCAGCCCCATTACCTGATCTCCAACTGGTTGGGATCTGCACAGTGCAAAGATCATCCGAGGACTCGTCCGTGGAGGTGCCGATGAAATCGAAGTTCAGGCAGTTGTGGGTGAGCTTGAGGAGCTGCATGAGCAGCCCGTGCTGGCTTTCATCGTTCAGGTTCAGGTTCTTCCCAGAAGCCTGGAAAACACCACGGGATTAAGGCAGGAAAAGGAGGGAAGAAAGGAAAATAAAATCCAGGTGACAGCCAAGGATTGAGGTTGGAGCAGGAGGTGGCACCACAAGGGTGGTGTGGCGCGGGCACCGGGCGTGTTCTTACAGGAGGGGTTGGCATGGGCACATTCCAGGCTTTCCAGGAGATGGATAAACAGGCAGCACTTCCCCTCCCGCTCCTTTGAAGCGCCCGGGGAGCAGCTGCCAGGTTTGATAGCCGGGAGATAAGGAAGTTCCCACTCAGGTTAAACACGGGGACACCTCCCGGGAGGGAATCCAATTGGGAATCCAATCCTGCTGCTCCCAGGGAAACCAGGAGCTGCTCCGGGCAGGGAAAACACGGATACCCTCAGGTGACACTCACAACTCCAGGGATGTGGAATTTGGGGTCATTTCCACCGCAGTTTAAACACGCTCTGTGCTCCTGGCCAGCCCATCCACCCTTTGGATTGCCACTCGGGACTTCAAATCAACTGATTCTGGTTTCAAATCAACTGATTTCTGCTTCAAATCAACTTATTCTGGCCTCAGATCAACTGATTCCTGCTTCAAATCGACTTATTCAGGTTTCAAATTGACTTATTTTGGCTTCAAATCAACTTATTCCTGCTTCAAATCGACTTATTCTGGTTCCAAATCAACTTATTCTTGTGTCAAATTGATTTATTCTCACTTCAAATCAACTGATTCCTGCTTCAAATCAACTTTTTGAAGTTGATTTTTAAAGCAAGTTCACTCAATAAGTAGCAGAAAAAAACCTGGGGAGCACCAGACAGTCAATATTTATTGTGTGTTAAAATACCAATATATATATATTATAACATATATAATGTATATATATAATATATAATATTACATATTATATATAATATTATATATTATATAATACAACATATTATATAATACACTAAAATATTTTATATATAATTTTATAATATTACAAATATATTATAATATTATATATCATCATATATTATTATATAATTATAGTATATGATAATGTATATTTCTAAATACAGAATATTTTATCTGTAACACGTAAAAGTATACTTATTATATATTTTTATTATATTTATTAATAATTTTATTTGGGTTTTATTGATTTATTTAGACATAAAATTTCCTTTAATGAGCCGAAGTTTTCATGGAAAAACAAGTCCAGAATCCAGCGTTTAGGACAAGGAAGCTCCTTCCAGGAGGGAATTTCAGCCCCCAAACGTGTTTCCCCTCCACTCAGCCCCCAGTAAGGATTCCAAGCCCCTCCTTACCTGTTTCAGTAAACTGCAGGACAGGTTGAAAATATCAAATAAAGAGGAATCCCGGAAGGAAGAGGCAATTTTCCTGTGCTTGGTCAGTGGGTGGGTTGTATCCGCCTGGGCAGAGGGAAAAGCAGCTCAGAACTCCTGGACTGGGACCAGCAGAACCAGCAGGAGCCCTGGGGAGCACTGGGAGAGCTCCCAGGAAAACGGGAAAGCAAAGGGATTCTTCCCATTTTTCCCATTTATCCAACCATGGGATGGCCAAATCCCACCTGGCCGGGACGAGTCACCCGCTGGGATATCCCAGTGGGATGGAGCCTTTCTGCAGCCCCACCAATAAATCTCTTTTCTGTTATATTTTTCTTAAATAATTCTAATTTTTGCGATATTTTCTGTCATTTTTAAAATATATTTTTAATAACATTTTTTTTGGTATTTTTTGTTGGGTTTGGTTTTGTGTTGGGTTTTTTTCTGGTTGGTTGGTTGGTTTTTTCTGAACCTCTCTTAAATTTAAATTTCCAAACACCTCACCCAGTATTGAAGGAACCAGGACCAACCTCAAGTTTCCCACACTGACCTTCCCAATAACCCCGTGGAAGCATCAAACACTCCTGTCCTTATATTTTGGGTGAGCAGGAAAAGCCCTGGAACACCCCAACAGTTGGTGGCAGAGCAAAACTGGACCTAAACTTGTCAGGTGTTTTAAGACTGAATTATTCCTCAGCTCAGACTGTTAAAATTTCAGGGTCTTTAAAAAAAAAATCTCACTTATTTCTGGCCTGGTGAAAACGAGCATTTTTCTTTTCCTTCACCACGAGGTCACAGGGCTTCAATCAGGGAATTTGGTTTAAATCCCTGAACTGGGCTTAAATCAGTTTAAATCAAATTTAAACTTTGTCTTAAATCAGTGACCTTGGTTTAAATCAGTGAGCTCCAGTCCCTCAGCACCTCCAGGCAAGTCTATATAATATATACTATAAAACACTATATAATAATGTAGCATTTAATACTATATAACAATATATTCTATAATACTGTATAATAATATATTATATATAAAATATACTATATTACTGTACATTATAAATTATACTATTATACTGTATGATAACATATTGTAATATTACCTATAATGTTATATTTTATATATATTTATATATCATAATACACTACTATACAATATTATAACATATATATTTAAACCCCAAACTTCTTTCCAGACACATCCTAATTTATAGGGATTTATATACATAAATATATTTAAAAACCAGACTTGTTTCCATCTTTGCTGTAAGGAAGGGAAGGACCAGCCCCTCTGTGGAGATGAAATTTGGGGTTTGCAAAGCCTGGGTCAAGGAAATGGCAACAGTAAAAAGGCTGGATCAAGATTTAGGAGGAGATGTGAGGGTTAGGATTTGCTCCTTGAGGAATTAAAGGGATTTTGGGGCTCTGAAATGGGTGCAGAAAACGTTCAAATTGGATTTAAGGCGTTTAAATTTAAGGCTGGGGAAGTTCAGAGGGGCTGAACTCCAGCGAGTCCAGAGGCAGGAACTGGGGAAGGACAAAACCTCCTTTCCCAGCTCTGAGAACAATTTAATCGCCCTCCAAATCCCACTCAGGGATTCCTCCAACACCTGGATTAACATCCCAGGAAAATTAAAGTTAGTTACTCAGTAAGGCATTAAAATCCAACCCTTGGTTACCCCTGGTTTTCTTTGGAAAATCAGAGATTTCGTGGACATTGTGACCCTCCTGCTGCCTCGGGACCTTCGGGGGAGCTGACTTTGCTGCTGGAAAAAGGATGGAATCTGGGATAGCAGCAGGTAAAGCCACTCATTCCCGCTTCCAACACCCAATTCCAAGAGGCAGCACAACCTCGGAGGGCTCCCAAAACCAAGGAGCCAACCTGGGAAGCACCTGGAAGGGACTTGGCCCCGGGAAACCAGCAGGAGCTGAGAATTCCCTGCTGGGAACTCCGGGAAATTCGGTCCTGGATGGAAAGGGATGGTTGGAAAACTGGCACAATTTGATGGTTGGAAAACTGGCAGAGTTTGATGGTTTAAAAACTGGCAGAGTTTGGTGACTCCTCTGCTCAACAAGGAGGGACTGACAACACAAGGGCTTAGTCCTCACTGGGTAGGTCTGGTTTTATCCCTCGCTCTGTTCCCCTCCATCCCAAAAAAAACCCCAGAGTGAAAACATGGGAGCAGATGGAAGATGCCAGGGAAACAAAAGGATTCCTCGGGACAGGAGAGCTCGGAGCATCTTCCCCCGAGGGGGGAGCGACTGAAAACAACACAGAGACAGGAGGGAACCCCCAAAAACAACCCCCCCCAGGGCAAAAAAAAAACCCCAAATCAACCCCCAAAAAAGGCAGGACAGGACAATATGAATGAGAAAATTGGACACTTACTTCACTGAGGAAGGCTGTAGCACTTACTTGATTAATCTCATTCGTTAGTTGGGACAGGATTGTCACTCCTATGATGCAGTGCTCGACACTGTCCTGGGGGGCAAAGCACAGCAGGAGGCTCAGCTCAGGGTTTGGGTAAGCTCGGCTTAGTGCTTGGAAAACCTTCAGTTTTATCGGTGGAAACCACCCCCAAATTCCCAATTTAATTTTGAATTTAATTTTGAATTTTATTTCGAATTTAATTTAAAATTTAATTCGAATTTAATTTTAAATTTAAGCCGAATTTAACTTCCAATTTAATTCAAATTTAATTTAATTTCCAATTTAATTTCCGATTTAATACAAATTTAATTCAAATTCAATTTCAAATTTAATTCGAATTTAACTTCAAATTTAATTGCCAATTTAATTTCCAATTTAATTCAAATTTAATTTCATTTCCAATTTAATTTCCGATTTAATGCAAATTTAATTTCCGATTTAATTCAAATTTAATTCAAATTCAATTTCAAATTTAATTCGAATTTAACTTCAAATTTAATTGCCAATTTAATTTCCAATTTAATTCGAATTTAA